TTGTGGTTTTGAACAAATGCTAAATGCATTTTCTTTTGGTGAGTGATTTTCCATTATTTATTTGCTTTATGTTGCACACTGCTTTGATCATGCAAGAACTTTTACATTCCTCAACCATATTCACGCGACTAAACCTTGTGTGCAACTTCTTTCTCTTCCCCAAAATGAAAATCAAGTTAAACAAAAGATTTGATGCAATAAAAGAGACTGAAGCTGAATCACAGACAATGCTAAACACACACTAAAAACAGACTTCTAGTATGCATTCCATTTGCATCCATAAGGCAATAGTAATGAAATCAGTGTGTATCTGCTCTGAAGGAAATTAAGATGACAGTGATGACTAAGATCCATATATGATATAATTTTATTTATTCGGTTCTTAATACTCTTGAAACGGCTGTACCACACTTGCATTGAATCTAAAATAAGATATGGTATTGCTGTATGGGGAACCGCATCTCTATACGCTGTTAATAAACTTCAGATGGCACAAAATCGTTACGTGTTCAATTTATAATTTAAACTTTATGGAATCAGTGTCTGAACTCTACCACACCAATAATATTGACAAGATTAGTGAAATTTACAAGAAACAGATTCTATTGGAGGGTTTCAAATATATAAAGGGCAAAAAGGAAAACAGCTTCCTTGGAATTGTTATTCATTCATTCATTTTTATTTACTATGTACTGTCAAGTACATTCCTGGCCTCGCATGGAGCATTACCAGGAGATAAACAATACAAATACGTTACAATATATATTCATACAGAAAATTAAATAACATTAAGTTGTAGTAATGGTAAATAAAAAATAAAAATAAATAACCACTTACTCCGACTCAGCCTCTTAAGCAATATACTAGATACACCCAACACACCTTATTGCTGAGAACATATATTTATTAAACAAAACAAACGTTTTCAACCCAATTTATGGGCCATCGTCAGGTTAACATTGTTCGACTCTAATACAAAATCAAACACATTCAAAATTAACCAAATTAGAACATAGGTTTAAATTAAACCAATAGAACATGCTTAACCACAATAAAATAATAAATAATAAACTAAAATATCACACAAAAAAACGAAAATAAAATATGGTGATTAACCGTACACACTAGGTACCAATTTTTTCTACATTATCCCAGATATCTATTGAGTCCCTGCAGGTGTATTATTACGCGTGTTTTTTCTTACTATGTATTTCCACGATGAAGGTAACACTGTCGCATCCTTGTAATTTAAACATCTATCCGTTAAACTTGCCCTGTATATTTCACATTTTTCAGTTATGGATGAGAGCGTTGGCGAGTGCACTTTTGCAAGGATTTTGGCATCTTCCCATTTAATAACAGAACCTTCTGCTTGTGCCATTTTGGATAATGCTGTTACACATGTTTGTTTTGTTTAATAAATATATGTTCTCAGCAATAAGGTGTGTTGGGTGTATCTAGTAAAAATAAATAGATAAAATTGTTGAGGGACATTGATAGGATGATCACAATTTAACTATTAACATTTACATAGATATAAAGTTATTATAAATTTTTGTGATTAATATATATTTAATTAATAAATATCTTGGTGATTGAGTATTTAGAGATTAAGAAGGTGAACAGAAATAACTGTTTCAGGTCTCAAGAACATAATTCTCAGCCTAAGTAGTTAGAACTTGGATTGACGTATGTTTTTGCCGCTTCAAGATGGAATGAAGTTGGGCAACAACACATTCCTTAAACAGGGTATCTTGAGCAGAGTATTATTAAAAAGCAAATTATAGGTAACACATCACCTCTGTAGCGCAGGACGATTTGAATGTATGTCTGAGATATCACAAGATTGGTATAGGAGAATGTCGCAGATCAACACGAGATACTCGTATAATTCGTGAATATAGTCTCCCAGTTGTTAAACTAGAGATGGAAAGATATGCACCAATCTTTCAATTAATCTTCTATTGGAATAGTCTGTGCAACGATTTACGTAACATATCAAGTTACGAAATCTTCAAAAAAAAAAAAATGGAAAAAAAATGGAAAAAACTTAAGCCACAGTGATATTTGTTCTCAATTAATTTTTGGACTTGATGTAGAATGTAATTTTCTTTCTCAGCTTGTGTCCTGTTTTTGTTTTGTTTTATTTTTTTGTTGGTTTTGTTGATTTTTGCTTTAAGATGCTTGTAAAAGGCCAACCTGGCCACAGTGTCTTTTTGAGAAATAAAATAAATAAATATTGATGAATTTCAGGAACTTTTTGACTATCATCTTGCATTAAAATATTGCATGTCTAAATAATAAATCTCTCATATTAAAAGTTGTAAAAAAAACTTTAATCTTTATGTTGTTTTGTATACTATTTGTATATTTGTATACTGTAATTTATAAATATAAATATATATATATCCACTAAACTTTTAATGCTTTGCAGTAAATTTTAACATATCACAAACATTTTTGGCCCACCCTAGGACCTTCTTCAGGTAGAATTTTATAGAAACTTTTTCTGGTGTGATTATCATTCGATTTCATTTCCGATGCATTCTAATTTGTATTAGAATTTCTTTTTTAAATTTTAAATTTCTAACAATGTGTGCCTTCGTCAGTTGTTATAATGCCGGGTCATACATAGTCTGCCATGCCCTTGACAGTTGCTTTTCATCTTTAAAATTGATTGAAAGGCCATGACATTCCACTTTAAAAATTTCCAATGCCTCCAAATTTCTAAGCTGGTGTATATTACGAGTTTGCTGGATCATGGTCGCTTGTAGTAATTTGGGTGTAATACCGTTTTCACTGGCATATATGGCTAAGGCAGTAGTTTTTTCTTCTTTTCAATATCAGTTTTATGTTCACAGAGACCTTGTATATATCAAATTTACAAGAAGATGATCTCATCTTCTCTCATAGATCTGATATATACAAGATCTCGGTTGAATCTGCTATCCTTAAGCAGAATTTTATACACTCCCAGTGATCTTTCTATGTTCGCCCCATCTTTCTCATTCCTTACCAGGCCAAATGCATCTGGCTTACATCTGTAGGCTATGTTTGAATTAGTATAAGTCCCAATTTCTTTATATAGAGACTGCATGTGGCACTCATATGTTATAGTACTACAGTAGGACGACTCATCTCGCTACGGACTATTTTCTGGAGTCCTATCTAACTGATCTTTGAGTTGCATTTTATATACTTTTTTATTGTAGCCATGGCTTTCGGCAACTTCCTCTATTTGTTTTATTTTCCTCTGCTTGTCTTGTTCTTTGTTACAGTGCTTGTGGGCCCTTCTAGTAAGCACTCTAAAGGCCGCCATTTTGTAATCATACAGATTGTTAGAGTTGTCTGGCATGTATATTGGTATGGTGCTCAGTTTTCAGTATATCTTAGTATCATATTTGCTGCCATTAAAGGTAATGTTAATGTCTAAACAACGAGCTTCCTTATTACTCATCTGTTCTAACTTGATCGTAAGACCATAAGGATTGTTATTTATACAGCACATAAATTCTTTGACATTTGGCTTTGTTTTCCAGATGATGCATACGTTATCAATGTATCTTTTATATATTTCAATATTGGAAAGGAACTTGGGGATGATCTTAGCTTCTAAAAGATGCACCACAATTTCAGCAAGGTTCCCTGATAATGGGCTACCCATAGGTACTCCTCCGTAAACAGCATAAACAGGGCTCTAATTTAACCAATGGGTATAGCACCTTAAATTCTAAAATGGTAATCCAGAAGTCTTCAGATGGTAGGCAATTGTGTATAGCTTCAAATTATCTGTGTTGAATCGGAAATTGTAAATCGATAGCTTTCTAGGTGCTTAGCCAAGAGCTTGTGGATCTGCTCTATTTTTATGGTGGGTGCATTGGTTTTGTCTAAGATAGGTCTCAATTCCATCCCCTATTTATGTATTTTGGCATATGCAAAGAGTCTGGGAATTGCTGGTGAGGCTGCCGTTGCTTTGTCTAGTCACAATTTTCTTGCTAGATGGGTGTGTGTAAACTTGTGGGCTCTTGATTGGATCTTATCAATGAAGTCCTTTCACTCTGTGTCTCATAAATATTTCTGTAATATAGTGGTGTAGGAATCCCTTTTCATCAACACTATAGCTTTATTTTTGTCAGCCTTTAGAAGGGTAATGTTATTTTACAGTAGCCGTTTCTTGCTCTTATTTAAAGTTTTCCAATATTCTGCTTCCTCATGGTACTTCTTTATGTTATATTGCTTCATTTGGAAGTATGCCTTCCATCTGAAGTGTTCTTTTTGGGTTTTGCTCAGTTGTGTATGAGGGTTTCGATTTCCAGCATGGTGGTTTCTGGTGTTAGTTTACATGTTCTTGGCACAAACATCAGTCCTTTTCTAAGCACTGTTTTAATATATTCTGGAGGGTTAATTCTATCCCAGCAGATTATTGAGGCTTGCCCACTTTTTTCATTCTTTGGTTTTTGGAACTCAGTTTTTTCTTATATCAGGATTTTAGTTTCTCCACTAGCCTCCCTTGTATAGTTATAACCCTGTTGTTAGCCTCTATTAAGCTATTATAGTCTTTCTCATATAGGCGATCTTCGAATTTAATTAGACTACAGTAGTGTGTCAATTACCTGAATCAATTGGGAACTGGGGTTTTTGGAAAATCAATTTTTCGGATAACCAATTATGTACAAAAAAAATACATTATTAATATAGTATATTAGTATANACTTGAAAATTTTTCCCAATGAAAATGAATAATAATAATAAGTTTCAATAAAAATGATAAAATGTAAATTTAATTTTATCATAACGATTTTGCTTGAATTTCGTTTCTTCTGAGATCGCAGTAATTCGCGACAGGTAAGCTAGTCACAGATATAAATGAAGAATTTATATAAAATATATATATTTAAAATAATTTCACCCTAAAATAGGTGGATACAAGAAAAAAATTATTTCCACTTGAATTTCAAAAATTTCATATTTTGTTTCTAAAATTATTACTTAATACATACCAAAGAGAAGGTCTGTGAGTAATAGTTAGCAGTGATATTCCCTGATCTTTAGCTGCTTGATAGATTTGACTTTCAACATCTATAGACACAGCACTGGTACATTCATCCAGTAATGCAAACTGTGGTCTATATTATATTAAATTACTATTAATATTTTAAAGAAAAAGCATGAAAAATAATATGAACAATACTATTTACTTGTGATAAAATAATCGTGCCATCCCCATTCTTTGCTTTTCTCCACCAGATAAAATATCTTTCCAATCTCCAGTAACATTCCATCCTGAAAAACAATTTGAAACATTTTATATAAAAACTTATAATAATGTTAATTTGGCAACAAAAATAAAGAAATGAGAATAAAAAATGATATTCAGAAATAAGACAATATTAAATATATTTTATAAAGAAAAAACTTAAAATAAAAAAGTAAGAAGCACAAATTGAAAATGAACTAGTCAAACAGATTTTGTTTCTTGTTAATCTATTGTTTAAGATAAAAATAAAGAAACATTAGCTGATAATTAATTGACTTTTTAGAAAAATTAGAATAAAGAAAGTACTAATCAGAAATAAAAAAATTATTATGTTAGATATGGAAAACTGAATACTTACATAGTTTTTTACAATATAACTTTTTCAATTGAATGTATGTGAGTGCTATGTGCTACCTGTCACAGTAATGACATAGTGCAAAATAGATGCACTATATCATTGTCAGAGTAATTAAGTGAATATAATATTACCCTTTTTTAATTACACCTTTTTTTGTATGAATTAGTTCCTTAATTTTTTAATTTGTTTTGCCAACAGATAGTGCTACATGTAAAGCTAGCAAGTCAAATGTAGGCAAAATTAATTGATATATAAAAATTAGATAATTCTTTTGGAATGTTAGGCACAAAATTATTTAAGTTAGAAGTATATTAACGTAATGCTAAGTTTCTTAGCAATTGGTTGAATGGCCTAGGAGTGCATATCAAACAAACAAACATCCTCATTTACATATATAGATAAAGATAAAAAGTTATCATATTAATTAAGAATTTATATAAACTGATATTCTTCCTTTTAATTTCAGATCATTACAAAATAGCTATAATACCAGTGGCATGCCGTGACATTTGATGATAGGACAGTGGTTCTTAATACAGTGCAAAAAAATTACATTTTTTTTTTTTTTTTTATCAATTATTATTCTATTATGGTTATTTATACATTTACAACTACAATATGCATTTTTCAGCGTTTTCCTTACTATAGTTATTTTTTTAATGTACTATTGGCTTTAATTTGAGTGTATTTTTTGTGTTGGAACGAATTATTTGGTTTTACATGTAATCATATGGGGAAAAATGATTCACCTTACGACATTTTCATGATATTATCTCAGTTTCGGAACGGATTAATTTTGTATCCTGAGATACCACTGTATTAATCTATATATATAAAAATGAATGTATGCCTGTGTGTCTGTCCTTCATGCATTACCACACCGATTTATCCGATTGCCATGAAACTTTGGGAAGTTGTTTAATATACTCCTGCAAAGGTTTCTGGCATAGTACATTTATCCTATAATAAACGGCGCATGTGTATATGAGCATTTTACTATGTGTTCGATCGATTTCAAATTATGAAGACCATTTCCCTCCTCCAAAAAATATCTCTATATATGCATTTGTTATTTACGATATTTGTAATAATTTTTGTTTAATCACTTTATTTCAACTTTTTTTTTGCTAATTATGTATTTGCTCAAACTTTGTTAAAACCTTAACTGTATCCTGAACAACAACCGAAGTTGTAGAAGGAAATTCACCTATTTTACCGATCTAGGGATCCCCCTTTTCCAAATTTTAATATCAACTCAAAATAATTTAAAAAGACAAATTACAATAAAACGGTTTATTATCCAATTATCAGAAATTTCATAACATGCCAAGGAAAAGAGGAAGGAGCAATTAAATAATCAAAATTATAAAGGATTAAAAAAAATATATAAAAATGGGGAATTTCACACTTTTGACAATCGCTGCAAGTGTGTGAGCTAAATTTGGAGAATCCATGCTTCTCGCATGGACAACTGTATGTGGTCAGCTCACGCGTTGGAAAACCTGATTTATTCGTGTATGCACCAGACGGAAAAACAAAAAATATCGTGTATCCACAAGCACTCCAATAAATAAATAGAATTGAAACGACACTTTGAAATGTTTTCCCGATGAAAATGAATAATAGTAATAAGTTTCAATAAAAATGATAAAATGTAAATTGAATTTTATCATAACGAGTTTGCTTGAATTTCCTTCCTTCTGAGATCACAGCAATGCGATGGGTAAGCTAGTTATGTTATAAATGACACATATGTCACAAATGTTGATAATATTTACATAGGTTTAAAATTAGATTCACGTAACTTAGTGATTCATAGAACTTTTTCAGACATTTTACTGGTGGTCCTTGCCTTAAAATAGTTGAGAAACACTGGCATAAATGTTTTAAAGGGTGTCTTCTTTTTTCAGTTGAGTAGAATCTGCAAAACTGTTAAGCCTTTGATATACCGAAAGTAAGTTATTTTACAGTTTATACATATAAAACTTAGATTTGTTGTTCATTTTTATTTGCTGAACACATTTTGTTTGGTTGATTTGTATGCATTGGTTTTTGCTTTTTTTCTAAAATATGCCACTTCTTATCACTTGTGTTTCAATTGTATGTAGAACTATTCCTTGAATTCTAAGTTAATAATTCACAAGTGTATAGACAGACAGACAGACAGACAAAATAAACTTTATTATGCCCGACACCGCTAGGCACAGTCGGAATGAATATATACAGTGTGTACATAGAGGTGACATGCTGAGCAGGAAAACCAACAGTGAGCGTAAAAGAAAAGAAATCAAAATACACGTAGATATAAAATCCTGATGTCAGGAGTCGTGCGGTAAATAAAAGTNATTCTTGCTTTGAAAAAAACATATAACATCTATTAATTTAGATATATTATATCTATTAGCCATAATTATCTTGTTATAATTTTCAATATTTTATATTGTTTACTAATGTTAAATTCTATTCTATTTTGATTTCCAAATTGCTTCAATTTTACAAAAGAATTGTTGTGAGATTTATGATTTTTGTGTATTTTACCAGCTTTACTCAAATTATTTAAATCGTCAAAGCCATTCTTATTCCACACACTAATTTTATTTGAAAATAGTAGGAAAGGCCAACAAAACAATTTTTTCACTTCTATGCATCCAGAAAGCCATTTTATGTCTTCATAAATTTTATCACGCAAAATGTCAAACAAATTTTTTTATTGACGTATTTATATTTAATTTAGGCATTGGTCTTTCTCTTTTAATAATGTTTTCTTTTTCATTATACAGTCTTGAGTCAAAACTTTTTAAAATAAATTTTCAATATCACAATTACATTTTGAATCACTAGCCACAATGTAAGGGCAAAAATTAAAAATAAAATTATAAAAACTTACTTGGTGAAATAAAATGTGTGGTGGGTATATATAGCTGGCACAAAATATCCTTCAATTATATTAATATACTTTTAAAGAAAATTATAATTAAATATAGTTTTGTGAAGAAACGTACATAAAAATAACAAAATATTCTTTACTTTTTAAATATTAGAACAATCCACTTAGTTAAAATTGCTCCCTATGAGTGACTGATGGATGGAATCGGAAACAATCTTGGTAGGTGTGTAGTGCATGCATGCATGCCAAATCCTGAGGGTGCTGATACCGGTTAATGTCAAATGCCTCTTTTGTCGCATCACTAGTATGTCTCAAAGGACGCAACATGGTGGTTGTAAATTTTAAATGTTTTAAATTTAGATTTTTACAGTTATGGTGTAAATTTTAAATGTTTAAAATTTACACCATAGCTGTAAAAATCTAAATTTGTTAAACTTAACAGTCATTTGTTTTCTAACTAATTCGTTTTAGGATCAGGTGTCCACAGAAATTTCTAAAATTTACAACTTTTCAGTCACTCTCATTGAACTGCAAAAATTTCTGTCTTTATTATGTCTAATATTATGAATAAATCAGTCCCCACTGTACTCGGCTAGAGATTGGTTCAGTTAAGCTTTTGTTTGAGTAAAATTCTGGCTCTTTCATCAGGGTTTTATTTATGTCCCTAATTCCCTAATCACTTAATTATTTAACTACTACTTAAGTAGAAATAAGTTGAATCCAGTTACTTTGTACTTGAATATTTGTAGTCTTGGGAAAAAAAGTGGAAAGACAAATTTTTATGACAATGGATACATAAATTGTAAATTTAAGGAAAATAAATTCTAGACCTTTTTCTGTACCTCATGCATCTCTCTCATTCATTAAATTTAGTTGTAAATGATGCTACCAAAGTAATGGTTAATTTTTTAACATTGTACAAGAATTGTATGCATTTTTTTCTACATCCCCTTAAAGATGGGACATACAAAATCGTAATATCACTGATTTAACATTGAAATCTGTAAGTAATGTAAGATGGGAGAGCGGAATAAAAATATCAAATATTTTAATGGATTTTTTAAAACTCCTGTCAATTATACAGAACTATCATAAAAACATACCAGTAAATTCTTATCAGTTGGGTTAAGTTATAAATCTACTCGTGATTCATGTAATTGGGCGAGGGTGGCCAAATATCTAGCGGGCAGGCGGCTAATGGCCCGGAACCGGTCCTGGATAGAATTGGATGCGGTATACGTGTAGCATCACCCAAGGTCCTAGGCTTCCACCAGCTAAACCGGGTGAGGTTGGTGCTCTGTAAAGCATATGCACAAATGAGTATAATCTGGCTGTTTGGAAGCTGACAATACAGCACTTCCATTTTGCCACTGATATTTGAATATACAATAGCAATCTTATCGTTTTTTTCACATGTAGTATAGAAATTTTTAATAAGATACATAATGCGGTTATAATAAAATACAGTAGATCCCCTATAAGACTGGTTCCTATAATTACGATTCCTATAAGATGGCGAAAAAATTGTGGCGGTATCCATACACAATGGTAAAAAAACTCCTATAATTACGTAAAATGTCATCGGGCAGCCGAACTACTTTCCCACCGTCCGTAGCGTGGAGCTACGGACGGTG